TGATATTGAATTGTAAGGTCTTAATCTGTGGATTATGAGTTGTTGGCTAAGATCTTAATGTTATAAGAATTGTGATAACTAACCAATATGCATTATTATGATGTGACTATGTAAATGTGCTAACCTCAATTGTATGAATTGTACTAAAAGGACAATACTCATGCAATTCTTATTGAACTATGATGATGATGATGATTATATAAGGTATAGACCCTATGACCTACATTAATTTATGATGATTAATAAATGCATTAATGTTATTTCAAAAGGGATTCTAGCTTAGAGACAAGTGAACTAGAGTAAGGAGTGTGCCTTCCCACATATGGAAGGTAGGATCAGTAATATACTCATTATATTGTATATTATAATGCATGTAGCATAAAGAGGGTCCCAACTAGGTCTCCTAGTTTTTGAACTATGATTCACCCATAGGAATACTAGTTAGTGGATCCACCTAGATGTTATGTTCATGTTTTAGTACTACCTTGTCAAGCATCCTCCTTCCTCTATTATAGGCTTCCATGACACCATATTCAACATTAAAAGAGAAAATAATTACCGTAACCTAGGAAAGTGGGGATCCCTCATCCGATAAGGGCAAATATCGAGATTTCATGTCGAACTCTGATAGTCTATGTGGGTTAAGCTAGCCGCCACAAAAGAATGAATGAAATAGGTCTCCTAAAAGAGTGCTATTTATCCATTGCACAGGTAGACATTCTGAAAGGGGAGTCTTCGTGTCTTTTATATGAAATGTATGAATGAGTTATCATGTGTTGTAAATGAAGTTATATGATTTAAGATTTAATATTACTAAAGCATGTTACAGTTAGGTTTTACATAATGAAATTATGAAGGATTAATGTAGTCTGGTTGATCCATGGGAATCCTCAAGGAGCATTAAGTGGGAGTAGTAGTATGATATGCTACTCTCCTATTGAACCTTGTGTGACTTACAAGTCCCATTGGAGTAGGGCACTGATGTGAACTCCTTTGTGTGTTAATGTTCTTCAAAATGTCTAGTTTAGAGTGTAGACTTGTTTCCCGTGTAATATTTTCAATGTTACTTGATGGTTTTAAGGTTAAAAACTCTATGAACACATGCTCATGAAATTTGTCAACTCTTCACTTATGGAGTGGGTTTACTTATGTATGAAATTAGATAATACGAGGGATGTATTTCTTAGGTTGTATTATAGATTACCTACTGTCTTATTATGCTTATTCATGATGATTTTTTCTGAAATATTGAGATAGGGTGGTAAAGGCTTTAGTGAAACATAAGGTATTCTATCTTATTTAGTTTTTCTTTAATTGATCTTCAGTGGTATCGTCCATCTTTGTTGGTTGTGTTTACTTTAAGTACACAAATGTATATAAATATGTATATTGTGAGTATCGCCTTGAAGGCGTAGAATGTGAAGTGGAGTGGTGATTATGATGCATATGCATGATATGTCAGGCTCATATTCTTCAGGTCAAACAATCACCAATTTCAATAATAAAGTTAAAATACATATTAACATATCCATTATACCCTAAAGAAACCATAAACAACTCAGTTCACCACATCGTTTTCGTAATTGGATGAATCACACATGAAAACTCAACTTTTTTAAATACTTTGAAGCACCCCTTTGAGGAAAGAAGTCTCAAAGGTGAATTAGATCTCATAACTGAACATTTGATGGTTAAATCGTCCCTTTCCAGCCCCAAAAACCTCCCCCTAGCTTGTCTTCAATGGTGGCTTCCAAATAGAGAGAGAAAGAAGAGAGAAGGAAGAGAGTTTATTATGGTGAGTTATGTTTAGATTAATGAGGGTTGGGGTATTTATAGGGTAAGTTATTAACTTAGTTAGAATCACTTAAAAACCTAATTAACCTCCTAACAACTTAACTAATTATATGAGCCAACATTAAAACATGCAATAAAACTTTGACCCTCACAGACAGAACCCCGACGGCGGGCTATATGCGAGTCAACGATTGGTCCCCCCTGTCCTGCACAACCGTCATCTTGATCAGAGATTGGTGAAGGCTCAGGTTCGTCCATTTTTCTAAGTGTTGGCACCTCGATTTTGGCTCTTTGCACCTTGGGCTATATTATGTTCCAAGGTTTGGGAAAATTCCCCTGCTACTTTACAATATCTTGCTTCTTATATACAGTAGAAGCTCTCCCTGCACATTTTCTGTATCGTGAATGACACACTTAAATAATTTATGATCATCTCTCCAAAAAATGCAAGCTTATCGCCAAATTACTCCTCTATTATGGAGACCGCCTAGTTGTGAAGCTAATCAAGGATATATTATTTATTTGCATTCATGCCTTTGAAAGAGACACTAAATTAATGTTGAGTTCAGTTGAAGGAAGTATGATTGTCTTACCAATAGTGGAAACTCCATCCGAATATGTTTCCGCCTATTTACTAATGTAATTTCCACTACTGATTGAGATATCTTCTTATCCGCCGACCTATTATATTCTGGAATCAGACCTGATATTAATGTGAGTTATCTCTTTTTCCATAGTGGGGTCCGCAGCTCAAATAAAAGCCATGAAATAGGTAGCTGGTAAATTAAAAATAGAACTAGCGCAATTTGCAGAATTAGAAGCTTTTTAAAATTTTGCTTTTGATGTCGATAAAGTTACTCAAAAACAATTGGCAAGAGTTCAACAATTATGTGAATTGCTTAAACAATCCCAATTACTCCCTCTCACGGTAGAAGAGCAGATAATGACTATTTATACCGGAACGAACGGCTATCTTTATTAATTAGAAGTTGGATAGGTAAGGAAATTTCTTGTTGAACTACATACCCCCTTAAAAACTACTAAACCTCATTTCCATGAAATCATATCTTCTACCAAGACATTTACCCAGGACGCAGAAGCCTTGAAAAAATAAAGGATTTCTAAACATCTAATCATCCTATAACATTATACTACACACCAATTAAATTAAACGGAAAAAAAAGAGATGATAGAGAATGTGTTGAGAAGTCTACCTGTATTCAAGGTATCTATTCTTACTACAATAATTTGTTTTAATTGTATCGCACTATGTATAATTGTAATTAGATTGTAGTTTGATTTCAATGTATATCTATTACATCATGGCTTCATAGACAAAAAATCTCAATATGGTTGCATCCGACATTTTTGTTTTATTCCATCAGTGTGATGAAGAATAACACTGAGAAAGAGACTTTCATTTGCAGTCTCCTATTTACTTATTTATTGAATATTAGATTTTATAAAAGGAAAAATATTAGATTATGTCTTTTTCTAAAAGATAAAAGAATCTAAAAATCAATATTCGATCAAACTGTATTTTTACCTTCTATCCGTGGAAAGATATACTCTGGGGTTTTCAATTTATTTATATGAAGTATGAAAGAAAAGGGACCATTTAGTCCTTGAAGAGTTCGGATTGATTGCATTATCTTATCAAGACAATTCATGGTTCATATTGTTAGTCAGAAGGAATAATCTAATGGAGATATAATCCAATTCTTGTAGACACTTCATCTAAGAAACTCTATCCATCTATATTCTAGATGGGATATATCTCGCCAAACTGGATAAAGTTATTATAATCTATACTATAAAAAATATGAATGTGGATTCATATTAATGAATTAGAAATTCATTCTAGGGCAGGGAGAATCAAACAAATTAATCATGTGAAAAGAACTAGATTTGAACTGGTGACATGAGGATTTTCAATCCTCTTCTCTACCAACTAAGCTATTCCCAATCTCAATTGGAACTTGTGTCTCTAGGATTTAGAGTCCTCAACTTTACCAAACCAACCCAATCTCGATTGGAACTCGTAACATGAGAATTTAGAGTCCTTTCAGTTGTGTCCTTATTTTATCATATAACTGGGGTTTATGTGAATTAAGAGGACAAAAGTCGATTAAACTTTTTTATCAAAGACGGGGGATTTCTTCGATCTTCCAAAACATGAGTAATGATATTGTATTGATCAGGAATCAATCAACTAGGGATTTCTTGCTCAAAGATGTTCATTTCCATGTGTATCATAGATATCAAATTGTGATAAGAGAAAGCCATTTACACTTGGAAAAAAATCCAGTTCTAAAAGAATAGAGTGAATGAGAAAGAAAAGGAATCTGGAACCATCAAGGAAAGGGGTCGGATAATTAGTTGGGGAGTTAAGTAGTATTTTGAAGGATATAGGGACTTGAACCCTCATGCTCTTTAAAGTCGATGGATTTTCCTTTTACTATAAATTTCATTGTTGCTGGTATTGTCATGTAGAATGGGAATCTATCTATATTCTCATCCAATTAATCAATTCTTCAAAAAATCTATCAGAGAATGGAGTGAATGATTTTATCAATGAATATTCAATTCATTGTTAAATGTAGAATGGATTCACACCAATTCTTCAATTTTTCATAGAAAAACTACGGATTCGGTCGTCATTTAACATTTGATATAGTATTCAATATGTATGTATATACGTTTATTTTTAACTTTATTATTTTTCATTCTGAAGTTCCGATGTAAAAAGTCATCTACGAACGGATTTAACTCCATTTGTTGGAATATTTTCCATTGAGTCTCTGCACCTATCCTTTTTATTGAACCTTTGTTTCTTTTCAGAAAACAGGATTTGGCTCTATTGCCCTTTTTTTAATTCCAGGGTTTCTCAGAATTTGAAAGTGATCACTTAGTAAGCTTCCATACCAAGGCTCAATCCAATTAGGTCCGTAGCGTCTACCAGTTTCTCCATACCCCCCTTTCTTTTTGTTTTGAGATAAGGATCTCGTTGTGATTTAATTCCTTTTTTATTTTACTTTCAATTATACTTAAACCATTGAATTCATTCGATACCTATTTCTATCGCGAAAATGTGTTTTCTCCTCTTTGAATTTATTAACTATATTCTATAAGAGACCCCTTTTTTGTACAATCAAACATGATTTTATCATTTCGGAATCCACAATTCGTTACCGATGGATATATACCCGATCTATATGTCTCGCACCCTGTCATTTTGCCATTCAATTTGGAATACTTGAACGATCGATTCTTGTTTTTCATCTTCACTTTAACCTGAAAGCCGAGGAATGTCTCATTAGTTATAACTAGCCATTCCATTAAATAATTAGAACTTTAAATAAATATAGAATGACAGATATATAAAATATAGATTATAATATACAAACATAAAATATAATATAGATCTATAATAAAAAGTATTTCAAATGCTAAAAAAATAAATGAAAAAAGAATATTTACCATTCAATTAAACTGAAAATCAAAGAATATTAGCAATATTTACAATCACTATTTAACAATATTATTATTAGAATTGTCATAAATCGAAATTCTAGATCACTAAATAATCCTTATGCTCTTGAATATTCAATAGAATATTGACTAGTGAATAACAAAGATTCTGATTCCAGTAGTTTAGTTAATTACTATTCATATAAGATTTCAGCGATGTGGGACAACTTAGGTCAGAGGTTAGAGCATCACATTTGTAATGCGATGGTCATCGGTTCGATTCCGATAGCCAGCTTTTTGCTATTTTTTTAAATTTCTTAGACGATTGATAATGTTCCTTTGAAATCAAACAATATTGAAATTGTGTCTTCCTCCTTTTCCAAAGGATATTATTTTATCATGGGAACTACCAATTATGTCATCAAAGGATACTATATATATATATATATATATATATATATATATATATATATATATATATATATATATATATATATATATATATATAATAGAAGGGGTTCTGCATATATATCTAATTTATCTCATTCTTGTTTTCTTTATAGTATTTATATTACAAGTACACTATTTTAGTAAACTTCAGCTCATTTAGTTCAGTTTAGTTTTATTTTTTGTTTATTCTGGAAAATAAAATTCAATAATAAATATTAGAACTAAGAATTCATTCAAAATACTAAATAAGAATAAGGAGTCTTTATGTCGCGGTACCGAGGACGTCATTCCAAAAAAATTCGACGCCTTTGGGCTTTACCATGACTAATAAAAAGCTAGGACCGAAAGTGATCTTAGAAACCAATCGTGTTCTAGTAAAAAATCTCCTTATCGTATTCATCTAGAAGAAAAAAAAATTTGTGTTTTCATTATGGTCTTAGAGAACGACAATTATTTAAATACGTTCGTATCGCCAGAAAAGCCAAGGGGTCAACACGAAAAGTTTTATACATTCCTCAAAAAATCTAATTCGGGTGGATTATTCCCCCAACTAACGAAGATATCTTGGCGGAATTGCAACATATGATATTGATGAGCACATTTTTGCAATGAAATAGCCCACTTGTTTCTCGAGAAAAGATGGGAAACATGCTCGATATGATTTGATTGAATAGTTGACGCAACCTCTTGTTGTTTGAAGAAACCCTCAAGTTCAGTTGATATTTTTTTCATGAAAAGCTGACATGAGATAAGAAATCCAGTGTTTCACTAAGATTTTGAATAGCGGTCCCCAATACAAGTTCATTCTATTTCAATTCTTCATCAGAGAAATACGATCAACCAATTCCCAATCATGGTCCTTGCGGATCGTATCATCAATATAAGATACAAAAAGAAACTCCAGTTATTTGAGATCTTTCTCTTTGAATAATATCTCAATTCAAACGATGGTTTCATTAGATATATTAAAACTACAATCCATGTTTTTTCTGATCCGGTTCCTCCACCAACGCGAACACTAATTAGATTTAGGCAAGCTACACTTTTTAGTTATTTGGAGATCCCAATGCACCGAAAACCTAAGGGTTCCTCCTCAAGGTTTTTCCACGGAGGGTTAATAAGGGCCTAAGATCATGTAGAAAGGCGTAGTCAATGGACAACAGGTGAATATTCATGTACTACCCCTTGTTAGGCCCGAGGCACGGAGGAGACTCATATTTCATCGACCGATCCTTCCTAATTCACATCATTGTTGAAAGAATTTCTTTTGTAATTCCTTACATAAGGATTCAGAAAATACCGGACCGCAACCTACACAAACAAATTGTTTATAAAACTCCAAATTGAAACTTTCTTTTGATCCAATTTTTTTCTCTCCTTATCATTCATAAAAGACAAAAATAATTCAGGATAGCAAACATTATCTAGAATTTCTCTTAATTTCAAGCCAATAGGTGATGATAGAACTAAAATATATATTTTTTGTTTCCTACTTACCCGAGCCCATATCATAGCTTTTCTATCAACTTCTAATTCTGATCTTCATCCCTAATTTTATATTATGGTGCCGGTATAGACCAAAATTCCGTTGTAATCCAATTCTTATCGGTAATAAATATCGGGACTTTGCAATATTTGATTTATCATAATTCTATATATTCCATTGACTATAGAAATTCCCACGGAATTCATTAGGGGAATGTTTTCGATAAAAATTGTTTGTTCATTAATATACGTACTATTTTTTCAAATTAATTCCGCGGATACATATAATTCAGAATAATATGTGGGTGATTAAAACACAACATCTCTTTGCCTTATCAAGGGTTCTACCAATTGATTCATTCCACAAATAATTGAAATTCTATTTCTTGATCTGTATTTTAATTTTTTTTAAAGTTATAAAGTTCTTACGTCAAACCTTTATTAATGAACCTACAAAATCTTTCAAATTGTATCTTATTAAATCCTTGTATTTTAGATATTCCCTCATTTCCATCCCAGAGAATTTTATTTACCCATTTAGCAAAATATCCCACTATTGATTCATTTTGTATGTAATTAGATAGATTGGGTTTAAGTATCATGACGTGCATAAGGTATAATTAGTTTGATAAGTATGATCAAAAGACTGGCTTAAATAAATTCATTTCACTAAATGTCCCTTTCTAGCATATTTTTTTGGTACTTGTGCATATGGTCTCATACTTAGTACATGTGGCGCACTTACCCCATTTTCTCCCTTTTTCCAAAACATTTTAGGTTCTGGGCGTTGAAGTTGACTTGAGGTGATTTTAAGGAAGACTTGGGCATTCTATCATCCAAGTAGTAGGTCCTCATTTTCCTAGAGGACGATACCAATATTCTCTTTGCAAAGTTACTTAGTTACTACAACTTTTGTATTTACTCTATTTTTAATTTGAGAAAAAGTGTTACAAAGCCTATAAGCGGCATAATTTTATAGATGTAGGGCTATGCCCAATGCTATTATCCTTGTTTAGACAGCTTATGAGACAAGACGAATTTATGACTCTATTTCTTACTATACAAGTGTGTGAAATAAAAGTACAAGACTATGTAATCTTTTTATATGAACGATTCTATGTATACTCGATATTATTATGATTATGTATATATAGAGGTCTATGTAAAACTCTGATTAGAAGTAGTTAAAAAGTTTTAAATTCCTCTGTATTTTTAATCGATGAATTCAATGATGTAAGACTAAGAGGCCTGTCTTAGTACTAAAAGAGGACGATGACGCCATTTACGACTATGGGGTAAACCCGGATGTGAAAAACTTGGTATCAGAGCATGAGATTAAATATCCTTTATGTTGACGTCTCTCTCAACAACGTCTATGTATGTTTTTATTTATCATTGTGAAGGGCGCCACACTTATGAGTAGGAACATATATGATCCTTTGAAATCACTCTCTTTCATAGAAATCTTATATCGTTCCAATAGAGTATACTTATGGTGTGCTTTTCCATCTAATTATATTGTTGTTCTTATAGGAAGCATGAACACTCCAAGGAATGCAGCTCAAAGACTTGAGGAAGTTGCTAATGTGGCTCCTCCCCATGATGAGCAAGTCCCTCCACTAGAGGAAAATGCTAATTTTTATCAAGCCCCGGCTAACCCTCCATCAATGACGGAGGCGGAGATTAGAGCTATTCTTTGTCTAATGGCCCAAGCCATGAATACACAAGCACAAGCCGCAACGTTCAAGCTCAAGCTATGACTGCCCAAGCCAATGCAGTGAAGATACAGTGTAGACTAATGTTCATTTCCCACTTTAACAATCTATATTTAGTGAACATATTGCCTTGGATACAACATTGTAAAAATAACTTTAGCAGTTGCTTCATTTCTAGGCAGTTTTGGGTCCAGGTCTTTCGACCTTCTCTAAGTCCCTTCGTGGGTCCTAGGTGGGGTCGTACCTAGAAGTTAAACTTATTAACATAATCATAGGTTGTCACGACCCAAACTGGGTTGCGACTGGCACCCACACTTACCCTCCTATGTGAGCGAACCAACCAATCTAACCTTAACATTTCAATATAATATCAACAGAAAGTAATGCGGAAGACTTAAACTCATTAAATAAAGACCAATTCATTAACTTCTAAAATTCACCATCTATTATTGCCCAAAATCTGGAAGTCATCATCACAAGAACATCTACATTCAAATGACTAAACTAAGAGTATTCTAAAAGCTAAAAATACATAAGAAGCTAGTTCATGCCGGAAGTTCAAGGCATCAAGACTTGAAGAAGAAGATCCAGTCAAGGCTAGAAGCATTAACTCACCCTGAATTTCCGATGTAGTAAGACTGGCTTGAATTACTGTTGAGTTGAAGACGATGACACGTTTGCTGCACTCCACAAATAAACAAGAAGAGAACATAAAAGTAGGGGTCAGTACAAAACACGGGTACTGAGTAGATATCATCGGCCAACTCAAAATAGAAATCAATATATATACCAAGTAATATCATAAAATCAACTATGATACTCAACATGTAGCAACAACAAATACTATATCATTAACAATTACCGTCAAGTTCACACATGAAGACTCAAGCCTCGATACCATACTCATTTGGGAATCATGTTCATTAGATTGAGTATATTAACATCTTTCAAGATTCATTATCTTTATTTCTCTTGTGTCGGTACGTGACACTCCGCTCCCTCAATATTCATTAATCCTCTTGTGTGAACTTGACACTCCGATCCCCTAAATCTATGTGTCGCTTCGTGACACCCGATCCCCTAAATCTATGTGTCGGTTCGTGACACCCGATCCCCTAAATCTACGTGTCGGTTCGTGACACCCGATCCCCTAATACTACGTGTCGGTTCGTGACACCCGATCCCCTAATACTACGTGTCGGTTCGTGACACCCGATCCCCTAATACGACGTGTCGGTTCGTGACACCCGATCCCCTAATTCTACGTGTCGGTTCGTGACACCCGATCCCCTAATACTACGTGTCGGTTCGTGACACCCGATCTCCTAATTCTACGTGTCGGTTCGTGACACCCGATCCCCTAATCTCCTTCCATCAATTCATCAAGCCTTCTTTCTTACCAAGGCATCATCAATCTCGTTACTTTAG